CAAGAGTCCTAGAATGAAGAGGGAACTCAACTTGGATAAGGACAAGAGTCCTAGATTGGGAGAAGACTTCAGTTTGGGTAAAGATAAGACTCTTAGAGAGTTTATCCTAAATCCACTGGGAGTTCCAGATTAACAGTAATCCTAAGTCCATTAGGGCCAGGCTTCTATTGGGACTAGGATTGGATTGGCTATAAAAGAGAGGCACCCCCATGGGTCTAAGGTATGCTTTTGATACTCAAGCTTGTGAGTTTAGTGATTATCTTTGAGAGATATACTGACTTGATCGTCGGAGTGGCCCCGGGTGGTCGAAACCACCGCGGGATTCTTATATTTCTGTTACAGGTTAGTCAGGGGCCATCTATTCTGCCAGTGCTCTCCAGCTGGTTACTAAGCGGGCAGTGTGGTTGGAAAATCACCCACACATAGTCCAATCTGTTTTATTAATAATGACTACAAATATGGATAATAATTCAACACGCCTCTATCTTAATAATCATTACAAACTAGGGGTGCTCGCTGTTCGGTTTCAACCTAGGAACCTCTAATTTGCCATTCGTTTAAAATTAGGCGGATTAAAAAAAATATATATATCCGTCCGTTTGTCATTATATATCTGTAAAAAATGCAGCGGATTGATTCGATTTGGTCGGTTTGGTCTGTTTAGATAGATTGGTATATCCGTTGAGTACCCTTAGTTGTTTTCTATCTAGTTTTATACACAAGTTAGTTTTGAAAGTAAGAAAGGGAAAAAAAAAATGAAACATGAAGGGAACAAAATGTCTGATCCATGCATATTGATATGTATGTTCCACAACAAAATAAATAAAATAAAAATAAAAATTATATTCTTAATTGTTGCAATTCACCAAATCTTATCTCTTTCGAAAGAGTTAATAAAAAAGAAAAAGAAAAATATGCACTAACTTAAACTAACTAAAATAGAATTTTATAATCTTTTATTTTTACTTATTCTAAGGCTTTTCTAAACACGAATTTGTATTCTCAAATGATATTAGAAAGATTTGTAGACGTGAAAATTCCATTTTCTCTATTTTTTATAGAAGGTAAAAGAGTAGTAAAATCTCAAAATCTATATATATAAGGAAAAGGTATTTTAATGACAACGTTTGTAGGAGCTCTAAATCCTTAAACTAAATTTTATGATTTTTTGATTTTTTAAATAATAAAAAACATTCTATTGGTTAAACTCTTATTTAATCATAACAATAAAACTCTAATTATTCCATAAATTACGATTTTTAAAAGGAAAGTATGCTCAACTATTTTAAAATTTAAGTTTGTGTGTTACTATATATGGAAACAATTCACTAAAATCTCATTATTTTTATTTTTAACCATAACAATTAAGTTGTAATTATTCCATAAATTATGACTTCTAAAAGGAAAGTATGCTCAATTAATTTAAAATTTAAATTTGTGTGCCACTAATATGAAAGTAATTCACTAAAATCTAATTATAATCATTAAAAAAACTCTAATTATTTCATAATTTATGATTTTTAAATATATATATATATTTATATTTCAAGATTTAAAATTTAAAATTATGTGTCATTAAATACGATAAACAATTCAGCATAATCTAAAACTTATAAAAACCTTTCAAATGGTCACGTTATCTATGCTATAACTAATACATAAATCTTTTTCAAAATTTATAATAATGCTCATTTCAAAATTCAATATAGTAAGCTTTTAAAACTACATTTTTGTATTTATTTCCAAACTCACATACTAGTTTCTTGATTAATTTTTATTTTTTATTAAAAAATTTTAAAAAATCGATTGAGTGACATTTTCTCAACAATAAAAATATAACTATCTAATGATTTATGAAATTTAAAAGGAAAGTATACTAACCCATTTCAAAATTCAAAAGTGTGCCATGTAACTATTAAAAAAAATCTAATTTTCTCATAAAATTTTATGATTTTTTAAATAATAAAAAAACCATTCTATTGGTTAAACTCTTATTTAATCATAACAATAAAACTCTAATTATTTCTTAAATTATGATTTTTAAAAGGAAAGTATGCTTAACTATTTTAAAATTTAAATTTTTGTGCTATTATATATGGAAGCAGTTTACTAAAATCTAATTATTTTTATTTTTAACCATAACAATTAAACTCTAATTATTCCATAAATTATGACTTTTAAAAGGAAAGTACCCTCAATTATTTTAAAATTTAAATTTGTGTGCCACTAATATGGAAGCAATTCACTAAAATCTAATTATAATCATAAAAAAAACTCTAATTGTTCCATGATTTATGATTTTTAAATATATATCTATTTTTTTATATTTCAAGATTTAAAATTATGTGTCATTAAATATGATAAATAATTCAACAAAATCTAAAATTTATAAAAACCTTTCAAATGGTCACGTTATCTATGCTATAACTAATATAGAAATCTTTTTCAAAATTTATAATAATGCTCCTTTCAAAATTCAATATAGTAAGCTTTTAAAATTACGTTTTATTTATTTATTTCCAAACTCGCATACTAAGTTTCTTGATTAATTTTTATTTATTATTAAAAAATTTAAAAAAATTCGATTGGATAACACTTTATCAACAATAAAAATATAACTATCTAATGATTATAAAATTTAAAAGGAAAGTATACTAACCCATTTCAAAATTCAAAAATGTGCCATATAACTATTAAAAAAAATATTATTTTCTCATAATTTATGACTTTTAAAAAGAAAGAAGACTAAATCAATTTTAAAAATTAAAAATTGTGTATCACAAATTATGAGAAGCAATTCATATCTCCCATAAATCTTATCTCTTGCACTTATTGGATTCGAGTCAAATCAGAGTCGATGTTCATCAAGTGTTGTATCCGTTAGTGATGGAGCAATTGTGAATAATTCAATTGATAAATTTTTTCATTGTAAGTTTATGCTTTTTTATAAAGATCAATTTTTAATCATTATCCTCTCAGATCCTTATTTCTATTATGCATAACAATTATGTTAATTTCTAAAAATTTATTGGATGCTTATTTAATCTAAGTGTATTTTATAAAATAAATCTCCAATATCTTTGGTCGAGGTTCGATGGTTTAAAATCTGTATTTATTAAGTACATAAATATGGATAACAGAGGCTATGGAAAAAATGTACATATTTATTAACAAATTTTCCTTGTAAGTTTCTTCTTCTTTTGGATGAGGCATATGGTTATAATATTACTTATGCATTTATGTTTTGTAATTTCCATGATTTCATATTTCAAAATTTTTATAACGTTTGTTTTTAATTTTCAGATTTTATAGTCGGTGCACTTTTTCTTAAATAATGGTATACTTATTATATTTTTATATTATATTTTATTGTGCGACTAAGTTTATTTGGTTATAATTTTAAATTATATTTTATTTGATATTTTTATAGCTTATTTGGCTAAAAAATAGAGGGTTTTTAAACTATAATTTGTAACTTTTTTTTTTAAAACTTATTTGAAATCATTAAATACATATGAATATAAGAGTTTTATATCTTTCATCTTAGTAATAACTTTTGAAGCATTATATATATTTACACAATAAAAATGTTATATAGATTATCAAAAGTTACATTGCACCAAATAAATTTATAACTTATTTTAAGTTAATAATTTTAAATTTTACTTATAATTTATATCCATTTTATGGGTCGTGCCAAACATTAAACAAAATTTAAAAAATACAAGATGCATTTAGATTAGGGCCCAAGTTACATGAGCTTAATAATGACCGTGAACATGGTGCACTAACATGTGGATAGTTTTCCTATATAAATATTTGTCAAAATTTTGAATGAGAAAATTTTGTTTAAAAAATAGGTTGATGATTATATTTAAAGCATATTTGATAAAACTTAATTATTGATTTTGTAATGCTAAAAGTTTTAATAAAGTATAAAATTTTTAAATTACATAAATTTTAAATGTGAAAAATGCTTGGAGTATTTGAAAATATTAAGTTTATTCATAAATATTAAATTTTTAAATGCTAGAAGAACTATTTGATGAAATATAGAATTTTTTAAGAAAAATGGTTTA